CAGGTCTGAGTTTAGGGGTTTGGGTGGTTGAAGTTCGCTGGATGGCGGATCATTTTTAGATGTTCCCTCTTGGCAGAGTTTCCTGGATTTGTGGGAGTTTTGCGGTGTTGAGGTGGTGTTTTCCTTCGGAATTTTGGCTACAATTGCTCGCAGTGTGGCGATCTCTTTATCTTTGAGGGCGACGGTGCTATTGAGTGAAGACACTTGGGCATAGGTGTTCAATCGTATCGTCCCCGCTGATGGTCCTGGATCGTTGGACTAGGACCTGTTCCAGGGCGAGTATACGATCGTCCTTCTTCTTAATTTCTTCCACGAGGGAATCGATTTTTGCCATAAGTTCATGGATCAGGTTGCTGTTGGTGATGTTGCCATTGTTGCCAGCTTCGAGTGCTTGGATCCGCTTGTCCTTTTCCTCCATTTCAAGACGGATGATTGCAAGATTGTCGGACAGTTCGGAGATAATTTGGTCCTTGCCAGCAGAGGCAACTCCAGCGTAGCTGGTTGTACCATGCGTCTGTTGGTAGAGCCTCTTGGCTGCTCTAATCTTTTGAATCTCGTTTTCGGTAACGTACACGGGGAATTTGCGGCTTGAGAGGCTGTGTTCGGCTATATTGCACCTGGTGCAAAAACAAGTAGTATGGCAGTGTTGTCCTTCAGCGGTCTCATGCTGTTGGGCACAGTTTCCACATGTAGCATTGGTTTGCTGGCAACGAGCCCTGGTGTGTCCAAAATTCCAGCACTTATAGCACAACATCGGTGCCGGATAGTACCGTCTTGTCCTGCATCGAAGCCAGCCAAAGTCTATGAATTCCGGAAGAGTAGTCCCTTCGATCGTTAGGATGATAGTGGGAGTATTTTCCCGTCGTTCCCCAACCCTTTGAGTGATCCGGCGAAGATCCGCAACCTTTTGAGAAGCTAGGGCAGCCTTGAGATCATCGTCGTTGAAATTCACAGTGTCTAGACAGCTTACAACGCATCGGGTGAAGTTGAGGTTAGGATGTTTGCTTATTTTGACTTCTGTATCGTCGAGTAGCTTCGACATCGCCAGCAGACGTTTTATTTGTTCAGGGCTATGGACCTTGAGAGCGTAGGAGATTCCTTTGCCCTCTGGAAAAGCTCCTTCTATTTTTGAGCCGATCCATTTTTCCACGGAGGTTCTTAGGAGAAAGGGGTGCTTCGGAAGTGAGCCGTGGACGCCTTCCATCCTCAGAATTGTCAGCTCGCCGCTGGTGTTCTTGGGGTCCATGTACTCTGGAAGGGTTCTTCCAGCGTAGCTTCCATTGATTAGGTTTTGTGTAGATTTGTTCGATAGACCTCCACCTGGGTCCCCAGTAAGGGGTAAGGGGTCCACTGCCGACGCCATGGTCAGTGGACCGCGGGAAAAATTACCCCCAACGATGCACTTTGATTATTTATTTTTTCACACGGGGGAAATGGAAACCAGATAGATAGAGTGAAGTTATCCGGAGAACGTAACACCCGCGAAAACACTACGGCTCACTGTTATATACCGGATAAGAGACCGCTCTCTTGAGAGTGAGTTCTTTGAGTTAAACTGCTTTCACTGTATCATACTGGGGTTTTCACTCGACGGATGATATATTGCACCACGAAAACTGACTTGGGGTGTCGCCGACCTATACCGAAGACTATTCCGGCTGTGAAGAACGGCTTTTAACTGCGCCTACTTTACCCGGTGAGGGATGTAAACAAATAGTGACTCACTACTAATTCACTGTGAGTGCGAGATTGTTCTGACCACTCTCTTCTCTAACCGACAAAAGCTCGTGCTTTTGTTCCAATAGCTGCTATCCCCAGCCGGTGACTTTGGTTTATGGAAAAACAAGAAATATGTTTCTAGGATTTAATGGCTATTAAAAGCCAGCACTACTCCGATGACTCGCGTTGGGGAGCTTTATGGCCAGCCACGAGTGATTTCCAGACGATTAGGAAAAAAGTAGACTCGCTACGAAGTGAAAAAAGGAGAAAAATAAACAGCTCGAAAGTACCGAAAAAACGACCAATCGTGACGAGAACAAGCTGTCAACTGAGCATTCTATGTTTTTTTTCTCATAGCCATCTTTGGTTAGCTATATTTTTTCAACCCTAATGTGTTTTTTTCTGATTGAAATATACCAAATGAAAGATTGAAGTCTTATCTACCAAAGCTTCTTTGTGAAGAACTCGATTAAATTTAATTATTATACAACAAAATTGAAAAGTATGTTGAGAGTACCAAAAACAACTTTAAAATTTCATACATTTTAGTGATTTTAAGTTAAACATCTTCATAACTGTTAATTTATTTGTTCCACAAAAAATTCTCCATTCAGTTCCCTAGAGCTGTACCTTTGATAGTAATCTTGTAAATTTTATGGTTTCTTCGTAATGATTGATTTAAAACACCCATTAAAACTTGTGATGTTTTCTTAAAATGTGCTATGGGCAACCTATTCTTTCATAAGTTCGGCTGTTGCAGTCCAATACGTGTATGAAAATTGGCTAGAATATTATTGTAAATTTTGTGATACATTCTTAACTTTCGATTACCGCACATCATCTGCGCCGAAAGAAAATATCACTGCGTAGATGTTTTGCGGTATTGAATATTGCTCAGTTTTAGAAGAACACACAACAAGAGACAGCGAATCGTCGAATCCTGAGAGCGGAAAGAAGAGATGTAGGTAGTGGTCGACATCCCTTTTATTTCATTGCGCTCACGAAATTCTGAGACTCTTTTTTTTTCCTTGATTTGTTTTCCGTCGATCTTGTTTTCCGTGCTGAGCACCAATGCTACCGACGCCAGGGAGGCAGCTCCCACACCTGGACCCTACCTATCGACCCATCAACTCATGAACCGGGACCAACGGCTTTGCTCTATGGAATTGCTATTACATACATACATATATCCAGTATTGAATGCTATTAGCCCTAAACATTCAAGGGGGTGATTTTGTGCGATTAAATAGATATTATTTTTGAAAGTTCTGTCAAATTTACTGCCTATAATCGCATATAAGTCCCATATGAATTTTCGTCAATTTTGTGATAACAACGCTATCCACTATCAATTGGAATTAACTTTCATATTATGTGATAATACTACGGACTTTGATCATGAAAAATGTGAAAACAACGTCATCAATTTTTCCCATCATGCATGTCAGTTCCAACCTGAAATACAATAGTTCATAGTTCAAGTTAATGTTCTGCTTTTTGAATTGCTATATTTTTCGCTGATATAACAAAACATGCGAGCTTCATTGAAGCTGATTTTGACTCAAAAAAATTAATAAATTACCTATGATTTTTCAAATATTTACATGGGAATTGCACTTCGTAACTTCGACTGCCATTTTCTCAATGCCTACTTTTTCCATATGGGACTGATCTGCGATTATTGGTAGTCTAATGGTGGTCTTTGTTTAATATCGTTGAAACGATGCCTCAAAACAGGGTAGTATCTTCGGCAAAGTTTCAAGTTGTTTTCGAAATTTCATAATTTTAGTGCTATTAATTACATTTAGTGCGTAATATTTATTTTATTTACCTGCAGTCCTACTTCATAATGCATTAATTACTTTAAGTACCGTAAATCGGGGGTAAATTGATCACAGGTGTTAAATTGATCGAACAAACTGCTGAAAATAAATTCGTTTTTTTAAGATTCAATATTGATAGGTAATTCAAAGGCACGTTTAATCAACATTTCTCATTAAGTTTGTTTGAAAATCACAGATAATTCTACATTAATCTTAGCTTATTTTCTGTTCTCACATATATAGTTGATAATAAACATATTTTTCAAATATATAAATGATATATATGAGCTGTAATCACATCAACTTACATTCTGCAGACCTACTGTAAGCCAAATTAATAATAAAATAACTGCAACAACTTTTGGAACAACAAGTTGCAACAATCAACAAACTCTTGATCAATTTCACTTCAAAGCAGTATTTTCAAATTTTCGAACAAAAAAAAAAAAATATTTTCGGAATTTTGGAATCATTAGATGTTTTAATGATATTTTGTACTAGTTGAAGAGGTTGAAAGGCAAGTGTGTGACTCATAAAACTTGTCAAATTTGCTTTCAGATAGTCACAATCAGTGATTTTACGACTCGCGAGCGCTCACTGTAAGTATAATTTACAACCTCTTCTTTTAACTTACAGGTACAAAATATCATCTAAAGATTTTATAATTCCGAAAAATATGTTTTAATAGCAAGTGTGTGGAAGCAACCCTATAAACAAACCCTATAAACAAACCAATCCCCAGTACTGGTTTAAACAATAAATTAATTGAAAATAAACTACACGCAAAGAAAACATTCACATACTTATTACTTGATCAATTTACTGGTTTACTGTACTTCGAATGCTCCTTAATTCTGACTTTGGTTCTTTGTTGTGGTCGTGCGGTTAGTGGCGGCGTCCGTCATTGTGTGTTGTCCGTTGTCTATAGTCTATAGTGTTAGGTGTGTGTAGTCAGTGCATGTCAATAGTCTTTTTATTGTATTACGTTCCCTCGAGATATTTCTCAATGTCGAAGTTTTGTGTTCTTTTTACAAACATGAGGATTTTTTACAGATAAATGCTCTTAAACACTCAAAATAAAGTTGCATGAAAATTCATTTTCCCTCTTGTAGTTCATTCCTTATTTTAAACATGAGTTGTTTGGAAGAATAAAGCTATTGATCACATCAACTGAACATGTTAACTTCTTCTCTAATCCCTGCTAGATATGCTAGTTCAATGCTTACTTGATTTTGCCAACATGATATCCTACGAGATAAGAAAGGTAGTTTCCAATGGACCTGCTGTATTATGTTTTGAAACGATTTTTTTCCACGATAATTTTTTGTTGTAAAAAATTTTTATAAGCAAACTTACATACAAATACTACTGGATGATTAAAACAGTTGAACTAATGCACTGAAAATTTCGTGGATTCTTTATGAAACCCTTTTTTGTGTGTATGACAAGTTCACTTACCTCTAACATTTTTAACAAATGTTGGTGCTTCATATTGTTTTCCGAGTACGGGATATATGGACAACAGGCAGGATGTCTCTACTTCTCCAAAATTATTGCTAGCAACACATTTGTATGTGCCTGAATCGCTAACAGTAGTAGTTGTGAAGTGAATAGCACCAACGCCAAGTTTTGAGTTATTCTTCAAGGTTTTCGAATATGATACCGGTATGTTATTTTTAAACCATTTGATCGTAGGGGATGGTCCAACACATGAGCATACCAATTTGACAGAACTTCCTTCAGCTATAGTCATGTTCTTCAATTGAGCTTCAAAGTACAGCTTTTGCTTCAAGTCGAGTGGCTTGGGTTTCGTAAGTTCCTCGGGTATTGGCCTTGATTCGGTACTGTACAGGGTGGACAACTTTTTACGCCATTCTCTTTTCTGTGTGTTTTTTTTAGCTTTCTCAGCTTGAACTTCCGCATTTTCTTCTATAGCTTCAATAATTTCTTCAGTAAATGCTGCATTCAAAGCTTCTTCAGTGATGGGTATAGAAGGCTCTCTTGGTTGAGATTTGATCGATAAAACTGAAGCAGCACGTGACGCTGACCTAGATCTTCCCGGCAATAAGTATTCGTCATTTTCATCGCGTATTAATTTAGGGTCAGCATGATAAATACCAGCAACATGCTGAAAATGTTCTTTTCCTTTGAATATCACTTGGTGTTTAACTTTTTCTTCACCAGCTTCGTTTTTGGCTGTAATTACCCAATGGCCGCCATCAAGTTTAACGGGATCATGAATACTAAAATAGAAAGGAAAAGCGTAATTAAAAAAAACTACGAAATAGAAGATTTCCAATAGTGTCGAATGCGCAACTCAATATTGCGGATCTTAAGAAAAATATTCGTTCGGCTGCTACTGTATGCAGTAAGAGTTCTAAGAGTTCTACCGCCAGTATAAAAATTAGATGAATACTGAAAACAAAACAAAGTGTGCATTATTTAACAGCTGCGGAAGAACTTCTTCTGATTGGAATTGATAAATAATATAATAATATATAATATATAATAATAAAGCAATATTTTTGCCAATACATATAGCCATTAATTTTTTTTTCAAGATTTGATAATATTTATTTATTTATTTATATTAATTTGCTACGTCTTTAAACAGACCACGTATAGACTTATTACTAACTCACTTAAATACACTTACATAAACACTGATGTGCTCTTAATCCAAGATTTTTTTTATTGAAGCAAAGAAACTGAACGCGTCACAAACATTGTTGAAAACACGAATACAAGCACACAGGGGGCTAAATAGCCATAGTTTGTCCAATGTAAGGGAAGAGATAACAAATGTCATCTTCGAAATTGGAATTGACGAGCGTTGATCCTTATACCCCGTACAGACTATGGCTTATAGTACGTTCAGACTAAAGAGTTATAACATGCTATCTTGATGGTGGTTTCTGCGTTGTAATTATTTGACAAACGTTATAACATGTTATAACTCTACAGTCTGTACAGCGTTTTATAGTACGTTCAGACTACAGTAACATGTTATAGCGCTATCTTGATGGTGGTTTCTGTGTTGGAATTATTTGACAACCGTTATAACATGTTATAACTCTCCAGTCTGGACAGCGTTTTAAACGCTGTCCAGACTGGAGAGTTATATCATGTTATAACGGTTGTCAAGTAATTTCAACACAGAAACTGTGTGACATATATTAGCGCTAGTGTAAGCAGGTCTTAACTTGACGCTTAACAAGTCAGCAAGCCATGTGCTGTGAGCGCAAACCGGTAAACGAAGGTCTTCATGGCAACGCTCCATAAACACACACGGGCAACTCTCCACTCACTTTCGGACCAGCTCTTCACAAGGTAAGTCGTACATTGGAGATCCTGCCAGATTTAATTAGGCCATACGGAATCTTCTATCTTAAAGAAGCCAATCGGATTAGAATAACCGTAGCCCTCACGCACAAAAAAAAAAAAATACAAGAAAAAAGAACGCCAAATCTGCCTTATTCGTCTCAAGACGACGCCATTGCGGAAAAAAACTACCAAGCCTGATTTAATCGTTTCACAACGACGCAAAACCTGCCAAATCGTTTCAAAACGATGCCGTCACTGCCAAAAAAATAATGCTAAATCTGCCTCAATCGTTTCAAAACGATGCCATATAATGAAAAAAAGCCTTAATCGTTTCAAAACGACGCAAAACCTGCCAAATCGTTTCAAAACGATGCCTCCACTGCAAAAAAAAAATGCTAAATCTGCCTGTTTCAAAACGATGCCATATAATGATAAAAGCCTTAATCGTTTCAAAACGACGCTTTTGCAAAAAAAAAATCAATCAGCCTCAATACTTGAAAATGACGCCACTGCAGAACCTTCAAAATCAGCCGAAATCGTTTCTAAGCGATCCCTATTACAAAAATAAATAAATAATGCATAGATTTTACCAGCACAAGCATATAATTTTCACAAATCATTGACTTTATTTTTTTATTATGAGCAATTGTAGGCAATATTTCGAAATCTGTATCAGTAACCCTATAAACAACAAACAAAGTTTCAGCAATGCAAAACAACGGCAAGTACGTTCGGCCGAAAGAAGACCGTGAGGGTTATCCGAGCGATCGTGAACTGGAGCGAAAAGCAAACCCAAACATCGTCGATGGTGGCACGAGCCTCATTGATGACTGTAGCGAACATTCAGCTTACTTAAGCAACAGCAGTGACCGTGAAGAAAGTGAGGACGCAGACACCGATCGTAGCAGCACCTACAGCACAACAAGCATTAGCCCCACCAGTGACGGTGGAGAACCGGTCATACCATCAAAGGGAGGTAACACCGCTAAGCAGACAAACCCGGAAGAACACAGCACAAGTGAACAAATGACACAAATTGAAAAAGTGCTCGTGGACCTATCAAAGGCTATTACTATAGGGGCAACTCTAAGACCAGAAGGTCCCGAAGAAGCGAGCTCAACTTTTTGGCTCAGCTCTGGTACTATATTCGGTCCCAAGCTAATCGATTCACCCCTCGAAACATAGGAAAATCCACTAACCCCTCATTTTATCTGTCAAACTTTCATAGCGAATCAAAACAAACATAGTGTAGTACTGAAATTTATACTAGAATGGGGTACGTTAATCGTTTGCTTGGGTCCAATAGGCTAGTCAAGTAGTGAGCCAATTTAAAATCGTTAGTTTCGTATTGATTGTTGCTATTACTCTACTCCAGCCTGGTGCCCCGCAGTCAGTATGTCACAAAGCCGACCAAAGCTGGAATTTCAGCCACGAACCGTCTAAGCCACATGGTTCGTATACGTCCGTGAGCCCAGAGCACATCAAGCCTTTTCCCGGCGGTGTCCGTCCGAATAAATGTGGGCTGAATGGCACGACTTCATCGAGAACTTCGAGGTTTGCAAACGAGCCGGTTTACAAGGTCAAGCTTCTCTACCTATCCCTCGGGCAGGAGCCATTAACCTACGTCCCAGCCTGGCTGATCCACGCTGTTATAAAGTATTTGTAAAGTATTGAGAAACATTTACGCTCAATGACAGACACAGCTGCAGAGCACCGAGCCTTCTTGAAGATGAAGCAAGGAAAAGATGAATCAATAGTCGCATTTCACGCGTGGCTAATTAGAAGCGTTAGGCTGTGTGGTTACAGCTCCAGTGACCAAAACCGATTAGTGCGAGCACAGTTAAAAATTGGTAAAAGCATGGTTACGACACCAATTTTATCGTACAGGCATCCACACGCCATGAAGCATACGAGGCAGAAACAACCGAACAACCGCTGGATACCAATATATTGAAGGTTGGCCGGGACTATGGAACGAGTAACAAGAGGACCGATTCTCAGCAAGAGTCTAGCTACCCATTCGCTAAGCATCGTCGTACAAACTCAGATTTCGTGCAAGCATCAGAGCGCCGGTTGGACCCGTCGAGATGGACAGGTAGGTCCAACCTTCAAGCGAGAGATAATCAGCCCAGCCTACGAACACAAGGGCGTCAGATGCGTTGTCCTAGGTGCAACAACGTTTCTCATCGAAACCCGCAATGCCCCGCGTTATCCAGAACGTGCGATAAATGTGGAAAACGAGGACATTTCACAGTTGCATGCCGGACAGGACGGCGCGTGCAGCAAATTGTGAAGCACTCTGATGTTGAATCCTACGGTGACAAAAATCCCACTAACGAAGAACAGGTAAAGTAAGGTTGATCATTCGTACATGAGAAAAGGCTTTTAAATATACGATTTTAACAAGCATTTTACGTTTTATCACTTTACCAACAATCCCTCAAAATTCTCATTTTTAGAACATAAACACACTTTGGAGGACGCAGTAGTTGACTGCAGTATCGGATCCGCTAACCCCATAAGTTTTCTGATCGATTCCGGAGCCGATGTTAACGTAATTGGAGGCAGTGATTGGGTGCACATCAAACGAAATTATCACGAGGGTGTCGCAAAACTCCAATTCATTCAACAGCCCCATCAAAGCTTTCGCGCCTATGCTTCTGCTAAACCAATGCCGGTTCAGTGTACTTTCAGAGCATCAGTAGAAGTACCAGGAACATCCAAACCGCTAGTAACCGCTACATTCCATGTTGTCCCTGATGGGGCGAGATCGCTACTAGGCCGGTCTACCGCACACGACTTGAAGCTTCTTCAAGTAGAAAAAACCGTTGACAGCATGGAAAGTATTGAGAACGGTATATTTCCTAAAATGCCGGGAGTGCAAGTCAAATTTAGTGTAGATGGAACGATCCCTCCAACCAAGAATGCGTATTATAACGTCCCGGCAGCATTCAGGGAGGCTGCCCGGATAAGACTGGACGAAATGAAGGTGAAAAAAGCGCCCAACTGGATAAGTGGCATGCCTGCCGTGGCAAAAGGCAAGTCAAATTTCCGGCTCGTGGTTAACATGAGGGCGCCGAATAAAGTCATAAATAAAGAATATTTTCGGCTGCCCTTGACATACGAAATGAGGGTCAAACTCCGTGGTGCAAAATACTTCACAAAAATGGACCTGAGCAATGCATTTTATCACCTGTAGCTAAGCGAACTCACAACTTTCCTTGCCGAAAACGGTATGTACCGTTTTACACGGCTGATGTTCGGGGTCAATTGCGCCTCCGAAGTATTTCAGCGTGAAATAACCCGTCTACTTACTGGTATAAGGAACGTGATAGTCTATATAGATGATATTCTTATTTCTGCGAATACGACATTGTCGGTGAAGTGCTTGGACGAATTACGACAGATTGTCGGTGAAGTGCTCAAGTACTAAGGGAAAATAAGCAAAATGCGGATTCGATAAGAGCAGCATTAAGTTCCTTGTTCACCAATTGGATGGCGACGGTTTCCATGTTGATGATGAAAAAAAATCAAAAGCGTGCGCAACTTCCGGGATCCTACTACTATTTCAGAGCTGCGGAGTTTCTTGGGTCTTGCGTCCTTCATCAGCTCATATGTGAGAAATTTAGCGCAGATATCGCGCCCGTTGTGGGAAATCGTGTCAAAAGAGGCATGGACCTGGGACGCGGACCAGAAGAGGGCTTTCGAGCAAATTAAACAGCGAATACAGCATTGCACAACCGCCCTTGGATATTTTTCTGACACAGATAAAACTATCTTGTACACCGACGCCTCCCCTAACGCACTAGGTGCCGTACTAGTACAAGAAAGCAAAACTCGCAAGCCAAGAATAATTAGCTTTGCTTCTAAAGCCCTCACGAAAACTGAGCGAGGTTATGCCCAGAACCAACGCGAGGCA